GGAGGAGAGTGGAGAAGGAGAGGGAAGGGGAAGGGAAGGAGGAGAAGGGAAGGGGTGAGGAGGAGGACGGAGGCCGAGGGAGGAAGAGGGGAAGGAGGAGAGTGAGGGCAAAGGGAGAAAGAAGAAGAGGAGGGGAGGGAAGGAGAAGAAGGGGAGGAGAGAGGGACAGGGGAAAGTGGGGGGTGGGGGGAGAGAGGGGGGGGAGAGGGCAAAGGGAGTGGAAGGGGGAGGAGGAAGCGGGAGGAGAGAGGCCCATAGGGCGAGGGCAAAGGGGAATGACAAAAGAGAAGGAGGGGGAGCGGGTAAAGACGAGAAGAGAACGAAGGGGCAAAAGGAGGGAGTGGAGAGAAGGGAAAGAGAGAGGGCAAAGGGGATGGGAAGGTTGTGGGGATGGGGCTGGGTAGAATTTAATTTAGTTATATATATAAAACAACAACAGCAACAAAAAAGTTTTCAACACTCAAATGACATCAGCACTTTCCTAAACGCAAGCCCACAAAAAAAACAAAAACACACATGATACAACTCCAAAAAAAAAAAGAAAAAAAAATGACAGTGACAAAGACAATCACGAGGATGGCACCAACTCGATTACTTTCGCCGAGTGATGGCCCATGACATCTGTGGGTGAGAGTTTGATAGGAAAAGAGAGAGAATACGTATTGACTTGCTGTCAGTATGGGTAGGGACGTTACACACACGCAACCATTTCCCCCATTTCCCATTTCCCCCTCCCTTCCTCTCCTTCCTCTCGCCTATTTTCCTTTCTCTCATTTCGGTTATTTTCCTTTCTCTCCTTTCGACTATTTTCCTTTCTCTCATTTCGGATATTTTCTTCTCTCCTTTCGCATATTTTCCTTTCTCCTCCATTTCCTTTCCTTTTTCTCATTTCGTCTATTTCCTTTTTCTCATTCGCATAATTTCTTTTTTTCTCTCTTTTTGCCTATTTTATCCTGCCTCCTTTCCCCCTTTCCTTCTTATTTTCTTTTTCTCATTTTTCCCTTCCTATTTTCCTCATTTTCTTCCCGCTCCTTTCATCATTTTCCACTTCCTAATTCCTTCATTTTTCCTTCCCTCTTTTCCCCATTTCCCTCCCTTTTTTCGTTTCCCTTTTTTCGTTATTTTCCCCTCCCTTCTATTTGTTTTTTTCCCTCTCTCTTTCCCTCTATCCATTTTCTATTTTCATTCCCTCTCTCTAAAACCCCTTCTTTATTTCTGTTCCCCCTTTTTCACCCCCTTTTCTTTCCTTTCTTCTTCTCCCCCCTTCTTCTTTCTATTTCTCTTTCCCCCTCTCCCTTCTTCCCTCTTCTCCCTCCCCTTTCCTTCTTTTACCCTCTCCCCTCCCCTCCCTCTCCCTCCTCTTCCCCTTCCCCTTCCCCCTCCCCCCTCTCCCTCCCCCTCCCCCTCCCCCCCCTTCCCTCCCTCCCCTTCCCCCTCCCCCCCTCTCCTTCCCCCTTTTCCCCCTCTCCCTTCCCTTTTCCCCTCCCCCTTTCCCCCCTTCCCCCTCTCCCTCCTCCCCTCCCTTTCCCCTTCCCTTCCCCCTCCCCCTCCCCTTCCCCCTTTCCCCCTCTTCCTTCCCTTTTCCCCTCCCCTCTCCCTCCCCTCCTCCCCTTTGCCTCCCTTCCCTCCCTTTACCTCCCCCTCTCCTTTCCCCCTTCCCTTTTGCGTCTCGCACCCCTGCTGCTAGATTTGCTTAGAAACTTGATATTGATTTGGTAAAAGTTTCCTCCTCTCTCCCCTCTCCCGCCCCCCTCTCCCGCGGGAGTGGGGCTGGGGAGGGGGAGGGGGAGGGGGGGAGGGAACAGAAAGATGAGAAGAGTTCGAGTTGTATGCTGAGGAGAGGGGAGGAGGAGCGGGACGAGGGGAGGAGGAGGTGGGGGAGGGAGAGGAGGAGGAGGAGGAGGAATGGGAACAAGAGAAGTAGGAGGAACAGGAGGAGGAGATGGAGAAGAGGAAGAGAGGAGGAGGAGGAGGAACAAGAGGAGATAGAGAAGGAAGTGGGAGAAAAGTAGGAGAAACAGAAGGAGAAGGAGGAAGAGAGAAGTAGGAGGAATAACTGGGAGGGGACTATGACGATGAAGGAGGAGAAGAAGAGATGGATAAAGGAAGCGTGGAAGAAAGTGGAGAGACTAGGAGAATGGGAAAGGGTGGATCGAGAGGAGGAGGAAGGGAGAGGAGGGGGAAAGGAGGAGAAGGAAGAAGAAAGGTAAAGGAGGAGGTTAGAGAACGAGGAGAAATAGGGGGGAGGAGAGGGAGGAGGAGAATAAGGGAAAAGGAGGAGGACTATGATCAAGAACAAGGAGAAAGAGTAGGGGAGGAGGAGGAGGAAGGAAGGAGGGGAGGATGGAAGAGGAGGAAGAGGGGAAGAGGAGGAGGGAGGAGCAGCAGCAGGCAGGAGTGTGGCGCTGCTGCTCACCTGTCTAGAGCGGTTCACCTGATCAATGCTTGCTGACTGCCCCCGGGTTGCAGCATGATCAATACTTGTCAAGGTCTAGTTTTGTTCAGAATCCTTTCATCTGTTTTCCTCTCCTTGATTTCAATTCCGTGAATGTCGTTTCGGCGCCCATCCTCTCCATCTCCCCGGGCCGCCCATTCATCTCCCCGGCCGCCCATCATCTCCCCGGGCCGCCCATCATCTCCCCGGGCCGCCCATCATCTCCCCGGGCCCTTCATCTCCCCGGGCCGCCCATCATCTCCCCGGGCCATCATCTCCCGGGCCGCCCATCATCTCCCGGGTCCGCCCGTCGCTCCCCGAGAGACGCCGTCCTAACGAGTCTTCCTTCTCTTGCAGGCGCCTCTACGAGTCCCGCGAGGTGGCCGCCCTCGAGGTGCGGGCGCCGCCCATGGACGTGCTCGCGCCCGCTGTCAAGGTGGCGAGCGCGGGGGTGACGCCGCCGCCGCCGCCGGCATGGTGGACAGCATGGGCGGCGCGGGCGTGCGCGAGGAGGACGAGCGGCGGCCATCCGCATCAAGCTGTGCGGCGAGTGCGGCGCCCGCCACGTCGCCGGCACCTGCCCGTTCTCGCGCCCCACCCACGTCCTGCCCGACACGTGCCCGCCGCCCGCGCACGCCCACCTGCACTCCGGCGGCCTCGAGGTGCAGCCGCAGCAGAACGGCGTGATCGTGCGCCGCCGCACCGCGAGGCGCCGGTCAAACCTGTCGGGGGGAGCCGCGGGCGGCGGGGGCGGCGCGGGCGCGGGCGCGAGGAGGAGCGCGAGGAGGAGACCTGGCGCGACCCGCAGCGGCCGGGCTCGCCGGGATGCTACGCCCGCGCCTCGCTGCGCCCCGGCCTGGCGCTCGAGCGCCGCGTGCTCCCGCCGCCGCAGGACAGCTCCGTCGACAGCGACAGCGACGTGGGCGTGGTGGGCGTGACGCAGGTGCCCGGGCGCCAGGTGGAGGTGGTGGTGGCGAGGGCGCCCATCACGCGCTACACGCAGCTGGGCCCCGTGGTGGGCGCGCCCGTCAGGGAGAGGGACATCCCCGACGACTTCTGCATGGTCAACCTGTGGGAGGTAAGTCGCCCGCCCTCCTGGCCGCTCGGCCTCGCGCTCTCTTCGCGCTCTCGCTTCCTCCTTCGCTCTTCCTTCGTTCTCTCTCGCTCTCCGTCCCTCTTCCTCCCTGTTCGTTTACCCTCCGTAGCTCCCCCCCCCCTCCTCTCTCCCCCGCCTTCTCCTGCATTCCTTCAGTCTTTCTCCGTTTTCTTCCCCTTTTCTCCTAATTCCTCCACTCTCCTTCGCTTCCCCTTGTCCCTCTTCTGCTTTACTTCGCTCCCTACCACTCTCCTTTCTGCCTCTTCTTCTCCATCCCTTCCCTTCGCTCTCCCTCGGTCTCCTTCCTTCCATTTGCTTTCCACCCCCTCATCCTTCCCCTTCCTTCACCCCTTTTCCATCCCCTTTACTCCCTTCAACTCTTCTTCCCTCTCCTTCCTTCATCCTCCTTTACTCCCTTCTCCCCTTCTCCATCCCCTTTAACTCTTCTTCCCTCTCCTCCCTTCTCCTTCTTCTCCCCTTTTCTCTTTTCCTCTCCTCCCTTCTCCTTCTTCGCCCCTTTTCTCTCCTTCCCTCTCCTCCCTTCTCCTTCTTCGCTCCTTTTCTCTCCTTCCCCCTCCTCCCTTCTCCTCCCTTCTCCTTTTCTCTCCTTCCCCCTCCTCCCTTCTCCTTCGTTCTTCCTTCTTCCCCTTTTCCTCCCCCTCCTCCCTTCTCCTTCTTCGCTCCTTTTCTCTCCTTCCCTCTCCTCCCTTCTCCTTCTTCGCTCCTTTTCTCTCCTTTTTCGCTCCTTTTCTCTCCTTCTCTCTCTTTCGCTCCTTTTCTCTCCTTTTCTCTCCTTCCCCCTCCTCCCTTCTCCTTCTTCGCTCCTTTTCTCTCCTCCAAGCCCCCTTTTCTCTGCTTTTCTACTTCCAAAACGCTTCCGGCTCATATGTGGTCGAGTTCCGGTCCGAGAATGTCGAATTTGGACTCCTAATCGGGTTCTCTTGGCGGTATTGTTTCTGGATTCGATGTGTGAGAGAGAGAGAGAGAGAGAGAGAGAGAGAGAGAGAGAGAGAGAGAGAGAGAGAGAGAGAGAGAGAGAGAAAGAGAGAGAGAGAGAGAGAGAGAGAGAGAGGAGAGAGGGAGAGAGAGAAAGAGAGAAGAGAGATTAAAGAGGAGAGAGAGAGAGAAAGAGATTGATTAGACTGAGCCAGATGAGGACTGAGCCTGATTAGACTGAGGACTGATAGACAGACTAGACTGAGCCAGACTTGATAGACTCGACCAGACTGATAGACTGACTGATAGACTGAGACAGACTGATAGACTGAGACAGACTGATAGACTTGAGACAGACTGATAGACTGACAGACTGATAGACTGAGACAGAGATAGGACTGAGACAGACTGATAGACTGAGACCAGACTGAGACAGACTGAGACAGACTGATAGACTGAGGCAGACTGATAGACTGAGGCAGACTAGGACTGAGCAGACTGAGACAGAGACTGATAGACTGAGGACAGACTGAGGCAGACTGATAGACTGAGGCAGACTGATAGACTGAGGCAGACTTTATAGACTGAGATAGACTGAGATAGACTGAGAAGACTGATAACTGAGACAGACTGATAGACTGAGGCAGACTGATAGACTGAGGCAGACTGATAGACTGAGCAGACTGATAGACTGAGACAGACACTGATTAGACTGAGGACAATGATAGACGAGACAGAGATAGACAGATAGACTTAGACTGAGGCAGAGACTGACTAGACTGACTGGCTGAGCAGACTGATGAGCCAGACTAGATAGCCAGACTGATAGACTGAGACAGACTGATAGACTAGACTGATAGACTGAGCCAGACTGATAGACTAGCCAGACTTAGGACTGAGCCAACTAACTGAGCCCAGACTGATAGGACTGAGCCAGACTGATAGACTGAGCAGACTGATAGACTGAGCCAGACTGATAGACTGAGCCGACTGATAGACTGAGCCAGACTGATAGACTGAGCCAGGACTGATAGACTGAGCCAGACTGATAGACTGAGCCAGGACTGAGAGAACTGAAGCCAGGACTGATAGACTGAGCCAGACTGATAGACTGAGCCAGACTGATAGACTGAGACAGACTGAGACTGAGACAGACTGATAGACTGGACAGACTGATAGATGAGACAGACTGATAGACTGAGACTGACTGATAGACTGGACAGACTGATAGACTGAGACAGACTATATACAGATAGACTGAGCAGATAGATATACAGATAGACTGAGACAGATAGATATACAGATAGACTGAGAGACAGATAGATATACAAGATGAGACAGATTATACAATAGACTGAGACAGATAGATATACAGATAGACTGAGACAGATGAGATTATACAATAACTGAGACAGATAGATAGACAGATAGACTGAGACAGAGAGAAGGGGGAATTAGAGGAGAAATAGGGGAATGGGAGAGAGAATAGGGGGAATGAGAGGAGAGAGATAGGGAATGGGAGAGAGAGAGAGAGGAGAGAGGAGAGAGAAAAGGAATGAGAGATAGATAGAAGAGAAAAGGAATGAAATAGAGAGAGAGGCAGAAGTATCCACACAGACAGACAGAACAGACTGGTATAGAGGCAGACAAAAAGACAAATAGATAGATTCATTAATTGACATAGACATATAGATACATAGATAGATAATAAGATGGGTAAAAAGGGATGGGAATAGGAAAGAAGATAGGAAGAGGGGGAAGATAAAAGTAAATAAATAAATAGATAAACAAAACAGTAGATAAATAAATAAAAACGGACAGAAGAAATGTGAGAATATAAATTTTACAAAAAAATAAAAGATAGATATAAATGTAGATACAAAAAAGAGAAAAAAAATTGATAGAAAAGAGATAAACATTAAAAATGCATATATGAAATGGAAATTGATAAGAAGAAAGATTAAGGATAAACGATAGAACAGAGAGGAGGAAGAGGAGGAGGAATAGGCCACTGGAGAGAGAGGAAGGAGAAATAGGAAGAGAAGAAAAGAAAATGATGAATTAAGACGAGGAAAAGGAAGAGGAAGGAGAATGAGGAAAATTTAGAAGCAAAGACGAAGGAGGAGAAGAGGAAAAGAAGGAAAGAAGAGGAGTAGAAGAGAAGTAGCGAGAGATAGGAAAAGGAAGAAAAAGAACAGAAAGAAAGAAAAAAGAAAGAAAGGGGAGGTAGACAAGGAAGAGATAGAGAAAGAGAGAAACTAGAAGAAGCGGGCATAAATCAAAAAAGAGGAGACGAAATAAAATAAAATGGGGGGATGAAAGAAACCAGAAAAGAAGAAAGAATGGACCAAGGGCAAAACGGGTAGACAGAGGGAAAGGAACATAAGACGAAAAAAGCGCCTCTCTCTCTCTCTCTCTCTCTCTCTCTCTCTCTCTCTCTCTCTCTCTCTCTCTCTCTCTCTTCTCTCCTCTCTCTCTTCTCTCTCTCTTTCTCTTTCTCTTTTCTTTCTCTCCTCTCTTCTTCTCTCTCCTCCCTTCTCCTCCCTTCTCCCCCACACCTCTCCCCTCCCCTCTCCGCTCCCTCTCCCTCCCTCTCCCTCCCTCTCCCTTTCCCTCCCTCCCTCCCTCTCCCTCTCCCCCTCTCCCTCTCCCTCCCTCTTCCCTCCCTCCTTCCCTTCTCCCCCTTCCCTCTCTCCTTACCCCTCTCCCTCCCTCCCCTTCCCCATCCTCTCCCTCTCCCTCCCTCCTCCCTCCACCTCCCACTCCCCACCCCCTCCCTCCTCCCCCCCTCCCTCCCCCCCCCTCTCTCCCTCTCTTTCCCCTCTCCCATTCCATTGCCGGAGAAGAGGAAAGAGGGATACGAGCCAAAACACATGGCGCCGTATGACCGAGTGGGCTCTCTCTCTCTCTCTCACTGCTCTCTTCTCTCTCTCTCTCTCTCTCTCTCTCTCTCTCTCTCTCTCTCTCTCTCTTCCTCTCTCTCCTCTCCCTCTCCTCTCCCTCTCCCTCTCCCTCTCCCTCTCCCTCTCCCTCTCCCCTCTCCCTCTCCCTCCTCCCTCTCCCTCCTTCCCCATCCCTCCCCATCTCTCCCCACCTTCTCCCACTCTCCCCCTCTCTCCCCTCCCTCCTCCCCCTCTCTCCCTCCCTCTCTCCCTCTCCCCTCCCTCCTCTCCTTTCCCTCTCCCATTCCATTCCGGAGAAAAAGGAAGAGGGATGCGAGCCAATAACACATGGCGCCGTATGACCGAGTGGGCTGTGCAGTCGAGGATTACCGGATATCAAATGATTACGGCGGATCTGATGAATGAATTTGCCCCAAACTCGATTTATTGAGACACAGTCCGATCCCTTTTTGAAGCCCCTTGTAATTTGTTGTTTTAGTGTGAACGGTGTTTGTGTTGTGTTTGTTTGTGTTTGGCGTGTGTGCGTTTTTTTGTGGCGTGTTTGTGTCTGTGTGTTTTTGTGTGTTGCATGTTAGTGCTTGTGTTTGTGTGTGGGTTTGTGTGTGTGTGTGGGTTGTGTGCGTGTGTGCTTGTGTTGTGTGTGTTTGTTTTGTTTGTGTGTGTGTGAACGGGAATTTGTGTGGTTTGTGTGGTGTGTGTGTTTGTTTGTGTTTGTGTGTGTGTGTATGTGTTTCGTGTGAGTGTGATGTTTGTTTTGTATGTTGTGTTGTGTGTGTGTGTTTGTGTGTTGTGTTTTGTTTGTGTTGTGTGTGGAGAGTGTTTGTGTGTGTCTATGGCAGAGGTGTTTTGATAAAAAGGGAGGTGGAGTTGGTATGGACATGGGCGTTTCTCTGTAACTCTTTCACTCGAATGTCTGTCTATAACCTATTTTATTTCTATTTCTGTTTCTATCTAATTATCTGTCCTTGAGTATGTCCATTTTGTGTGTATTTGAATAAAGAGGACCATTTCTTTGTATCGGAAAATTTCGTGTTAAATGTTCATCCCTCTCTCTCATTCTCTTCTATCTATCTGTCTATCTTATCTATCTATCATCTATCTATCATCTCCACAAATTCATGCATACATATGTATGTTTATATC